CACTGCAGAGAAAAATGTCTACAGATATTTGCTTTGGTGGGACTGTGTCTGGCACATTCTGGGAATAATAAGCGTGTTATCTGAGAGGCAAGCAAGGAAGGGAGATTGGAATCTGATTATGTAATATTTTAAAAAGTAGCCTGTGGAGACTGAACTTTATTCACTAGGCATTGGGGAGCAATTGCAGGTTTGTTTTTTTTTAACAAAACAAGACCAACAACAACAACAAAAGGGTAACAAACACAAAAACTGAAATAATTCAGGAGAATTATAGGAATTAGGAGATGGAGGGCTGGGCACAGAGGGAGTGGAGTTAGAGAGCTTTATGAGCCTATGGCATTATAGCTCAGACATTAGGTTTAAAGTCACAGACTAGCAAAATTATTCTAATAAAGAATTAAGGTATAAAAATTTTCTGTAGAAAAGGGTGTTGTAGGGCATTCTGTAACAAATACATAACAATACAGAAACCATTTTATATACAGTCTTGTCTTGTGTGATAGGGTTAAGAAAGAGCCCAATCAGCTTTTATGGTTTCAGTTGATATGAAAAAAAAATATCAAGCAGAGAATTTGGAGAATTACTTTCTACCCAGAGTTAATAGAGTTTTTGAGTGTGGCTATAAAGGATAATGAGTCTAGTTCTAACACATTCTCATATGGGTCCCTAAGAAGAAAAAAGAGAAGCCTGGGGTCAGAGCAACCCTTGAATGTTTACAGGTTACTCTCATTAAGAGAGAATGTTAAAGTCTGCATACAATGAAAATAAGTGTGGTCCAACTTTTGCTAGTCATCCCATAAGATTGAAGAGTCCACCATTTTCTCCTTAAAGTGATAAAAACCATTTATTTGGGGGCTAGACACACACACACACACACACACACACACACACACACACATGCCCCAATACTGGATGGGACAGCCTTAAAGTTCTGTTTATTTCAAAGGTGGAATTTCTTTTGCAAACTTGAATCTGATTCTGTTTTCCTGAGATTACCTCTGTTGGCCTTTATCTCCAAATTTTTTTATTCACTCAGTTCTTAGAGTAGTTCTGACTGATGAAGAGATGAGCTAATGCTAATTTGACACCGACATTTGGAGCTTTCTCAGGTCTACTAGATTGTATTTGAGGGATTGGACAGAATGAGTTTTGGGGTGCTATCTAGCAATGAAGCCAATTAAAGTCAATGAGAAACTGGATTTCTCCATGCTAATGGTTCTTAGACTTGAAGGAAACTTGTATCTCACCCCCAGAAAATTCCATTTAATTTGTCTGGGAAGGAACCTCAGAATGGAGAGTTCTACAGACTCATCCAGACAATTCTCATTGACAGCCATTCTGAGAAACCAGTGCTTTCTTCTTTTGGCATGTGGTAAGGGGCTCTTACTGACCATGCAGAGGAGCCATGCTCCCTGACTTTCTATGTATTCTGATACTTGGGGTAGACTGTTTTCTGGCATCTATGAGGAGATGAATGATGACAGTAATAGGGCTGTGACTATAGAATCAAAGGTTATTGGCATAGAAAATGCAGTGTTGCAATATGATTTCAAAAAATCGTTAGTTTTTCTAACATTAAGGTTTTGGTGGTGGATATCTGCCCTCCCCCCACTCCCCCAAATCAAGGAAATTTGTTGGCAATAATGTTTGACCTAATAATCAGAGAGGAAAAGGAGGGGTCTGAGGAGGATGAGGATGAGGACAAGGAGGACAAACTAAAGAAGAAGAGGAGGAAGAGGAGGAGGAGGAGGAAGAGGAGGAGGAGAGGAAAGAAGAAACAGGAGGAGGAGGTGGTGGAATCCTAGCTGTCTCATCTGGATTTCACTGTGTGCCCAAAGGGTTAGTCTGTTGTGTGCTTAGTGTATGTGTGTGACTGAAGGTTTCCCTGAGCCTATCTCGACAGTATGGCATCATCCATCGCCTCTGATTTCTGTCCTCTACTCAGCTGTTTATCATCAGCACTGGCACGTTTCATGTCTAATGTCTGACCCTCAAATAGCTAATTACGCTTTTAAACTCTTATTCCATTTTGATTATGTAGCACTGAGTCTGGCCTTTCAGTCCTTGAATCTTTCTTCAATTCAGGACCCACGCTACCTAGCACTTTGACCCCACTCCTCTTACGGTTCGATCTGTCCTTTTCTTTCAGCAATGAGATGCAGCTTCTAAGGCAAAATCACATTTGATGCCTTTATTTGTGTTTCCATTTCCTGTATTAGAGAACACTTTCTCACCTCCAAAGCAAGTCTTGAAGTTGATAGTTCTTAGTATATGCAGAGCTACAAATAAATTGTGTGTCTCTATGTGTGCATGTATGTCTGTATGTGTGCTTGTGTGTGTCTGTGTGTGTGCCTGTGTCTGTGTGTCTTGTGTGCATGTGTGTATGTGTCATACAAAAGGGAAGGAGAGAAGGCTTATGAGCTAAAATATGGACAAAAATAGCGGTCTCTGCTGGACTTACAAATGAGTTGGACCATCTGTCTTGACTTTGGTGCAAAACTTTGTCTTGAATTGCCCTCTTGGGGTTTGAATCTATTCAAATTGATCTTTCCTATGAGTAGGCACATCATTTTCAAACCGTTTCTGTGAAGATGTGCTGTTTTCATGCTTAGGAGAGCACATTGCGTGCTGAGTGAGACTGAAGGAAATGCCAAATTAATTCATTATTTCTGTGGCAATGTTCTTTTTCCCTGGAAAGGACTGCCTTAATCAGGCAAGTGGCTGTGCTGCCGTGGTGTGCCTGCCTCTGGAGGAAGCTTGGTAATCCGCTCCCTGGAACATACAACCTCGGTATTTGTTGTTTAAGGCTTCTGAATATAATATTAGTTTACAGTCCCACTCCTGGCCGTATTATATAAACAGTGGGGGAAGAATGACAATGGAAATTACGGCCGAGAATGCTTTATTTAAGCCTTTCTAAGTGGACACTGTTGTGCATGGCTGTGGGTCTGTTTGCAGCGCCCTGCCTGACTGAGTGAATGGCTGCTGTTTCCAGCCAAATGCAGGCAACAGTGGGGCCACTTCAAACCATCAGTGCAACAATGTTATCAAGCGGCTGAGTCCCTGCTTCTAGTCAGTAAGCCATCATTACTCCTTATGAGCCAACCGCAGGAGAGGCCACTGCGACAAATACACTATTATGTTGCATTTTAATGTGTGCCAATCAGCTTAATTCTAGTCCTGACATTTGTCTCAGGGACTGCTCTTTTCCACAGTAGAAGTCTGCATGTTTCCTCCAGTTCCAGTCCCTGAAGTTTCTGAAGGGGTGGGTAGGCATTATGAGAGGTTGCCTCCAAAGAAATAGAGGAGAACTCAATTCGTGGGATGCTTGAGCTTTTTCTAATTAGGCTCTGGGATGCTTTTCCAAGTAATATAAACATTGGTGTCTAGTTCACTGATACTGCAAGCTGATGTTATCTATCCAACCACCGGAAGCCATGCTGCCAGAATTCACCAGGTCTATTGGTCTTTGGCGGCTTGGAGAGCCCTCGAGGACTTAGTTTTTCTTATTAGAGGAGAATAAAATGTGGAGATGATGTTCACTTTCACCTGATCATCTACTTGGTTTTGGAAGCCTCCATGGGTTGGCCATTTGCTCAGAGGCTCTATGCCTTAACTCAGAGGGCAGCTACCTATAGGTTGTGGAATGCTACTTCCACATCCCACTAACCTGCCTTCTTGCAAGAAGAGACAGCTGAATCAGCCAGGGATACAGTAGCATTCCTAGTACATGGCCCAAGGTGATCAACTTGGTTAAAATAGCTAAACTTGACCATCAATTTCAAAACATCTGAAAGTGTACTTGAACTCTAGGTTGAGAAAATTGCACATACTTTGTAAACTGAAGTTAAGCTGTGGTCATTTATATATCTAGATTTTATAAAGAAAATGCTGCCTTGAATTTCCTAAACAAAATTCTTTTTTTTTTTTTTAAAGAAAGGTTTCATTTATTTTATGTATATGAGTGTTTGCCTGCATGTATGTATGTGTACTACATGCATGTAGTACCTATGAAGGCCAGAAGAGGGCATTGGATCCCCTGGAACTGGACTCACAGGCAGTTGTGAGCTGCCAGGTGGGTGCTTGAATTGAACCAGAGTTCTTCTTCAGGAGCAGCCAGTACTCTTAACCACTAAGCCATCCACCCAGCCCCAGCTTTGGCATCCTTGTGCTAATGATTTCCTAGCTCTTGTTCTGTCAGGATATCCCATTACCTCATCTCCCCAGATGCTGAAATGTTCTATAAAGACAAAAGAAAAATACAGAAAATGTGGAAGTTTTTCTTTGAAAAGATATGTTGACATTTAAGCTCTACTTGTTGATTTTGAGATTATGACTCAGACATTTCAGATTCTCTGGGCAATGATGATACACATAGAAATTTTGGCATCATGTCCTAATTTGGCAAAATGAACTTTGTCATCTGTGGTGACATATTCAATCTGTCTATTCATTTAACTATCTACTTTTGTTTTTAAAAGTTACTTCCCTGGTTCTTGGAATCCAGAAGTCTGGGAGCCATTGTTTTACCAAAGGAATTACAAATTCTTAATAAATTCAAAGTGTCCATGGGATCTTCCAGCTGCCACCTAAAAGTAAAACAAACCAATCAACCAAACACGTAGGGAGGTCCAATGTAAGCCTAGAAAGAGAAAACAAAAAGTCTAATTTCCCCTAATTAATGAGTCTCTATGTCAATGCTTCATCAATCCCTCCAGTCCTCACATTGTATATCTAGCTAGCAGTTATTTACCAATTAATGTACATCAAGTAACAGCTCTCACACCCAGTCATGCAATTTTACCATTGTGTTACATGTACTTTATCAACTTACAAGATGTGTGACCAGTGGCAGAGATATCTGGTATCTATCTCTAAAAGGTGACCAAATTCCAGCCTATTTAAAATTGTAACTTTTGAGTAGCTGGGCCAAAGCTTTAAACAGAGTTATAATGTAATTTCTTTTTTTTAAATGTATTTTTATTTATTTATTTTTATTTTAGGGGAAAGCGTGAACTTGGTCCCCCACTATCACAAATTATGAAGTCAAGTTTCCTGCATTTAGGGAAATTGCAGAGGTCAGCCTGCCTGGAGTACAATGGATGAGCCTCACCCTGGAAAAACCACCTTCATGATCATGATATCGCCCCTGCCAGGTAAGTATATAATGTAATTTCTTAAAGATAATTGTGTAATACTTTCAGGCTTTTGCCAGGTACCACTCAAGGCAATCTTAATGTCTTCAGGACCGTTGCATGAGTTTTCATGTTTGGAGATAGTACACACAATATTTGGTTCTTGTGTTAATTCTTTTGATAGGTGCATGTTAGTATTAGCCTTTGAAAGAACTGTAAAGCGATTTCTTTAACATCTTGTGTTTTTTACTCATTTCTGTTTAACAAATCACTACAAATTTGACTGGCTTAAGATAACCCCCACATTTTCGTCTTGTAGCATCCGTGGGTCAAGAGTCTGGGTGTGGCTTAGGTAGGTCATCTGCCTCAGGATCTCTCAAGGGCAGCCTTCATGGTGCTAGTCAGAGTTGGGTCTCATCTGAAATCTTAATTGGGAAAAGATATGCCAGATTAGGGGGGTGGTGGGGGCAGAATTCCATTTCTCTGGGAGTATTGGACTGAAGGCCTCAGTTTCCTAGCTTACTGTTAGCTGTGAGCTATCCCTAATCTTTTGCCCTGTATTTCCAAAATTGTCACTTGCTTCATTAAAGCATATAAACTAGGAGGCAATAGAGTCAGAAGTTACAGTCAGGTAGATCATAGTCAAGGGTTAGAAGCAAATGGCAGATTCTGCTAGCACTCTGGGGAAGGGGATTACAGAAAGGTGACTATTAAGAGGCCAGGATAATTGGGTCACTTTAGCATCTGCACAATACACTCTTGGATTTGGAAGATATGAAGCCTAAAAACCGGGCTTATTTATTTACTTCCTTCCCTTCTTACAGAACGCAAATCTTTGAGTTCACCTGGGGGAAGGTAGCCTGAAATGATGAACGGTCTGAATTACAAAATAATATAAAGTTGGAACCATGTTGCTCATAGTAGACAATATATTAAAATTAACACAAATCATGTATCACCAAGGAAAGTCCTATTTGCCTTTCTTCAATAATCACAATGTAGCCATTTATAATTGACATTTCGTTTTGTTCCAGACAATAGTTGAGGAAGTATTTTTTATGTTTCCAGTACCTGATTAATGTGGTAGAGAACACAAATTAATTTTATGACAAGATTTGTTCTCTTAAGATATTTATATTTAGAAATGAGGGGTGGTGAGACAGGAACAAAGCATACACCACTGTAACAGAGAACAAAATAGATTACATTAATCTAGCGCTAAATGCATTTAATAACACCCTCAACTCTGGCACAGAAAGGAAAGATCAAATTTGGGAAACATTACTAAGAGCTTTCTAAGGGGAAGTGGAGCTGCAAAGATGTATGAGGTTTGGATGAGAAGCAAGGAAGAAAATAAGAGACAATAAAGGGAGACAGGAAGTACCCTGAACTCATACAGACCAAAGGAGCTACTTTCAGAGAAGTGAATGGGCGATGAATAAAGTTAGTAGGGTGTTGCTTTTGAAGGGCTTGGATGCTGGAAGAAATAATAACTTATTGAGCAGTAGCTAATATTTATTCTTCAGGAGAGGATGAAGGTGTTTTTTAGGGAGACTTAGGGTATTAAAAAGAGGGCCTGGAAAATAATGCCTTACATATTCTGCTGGTGAGGGTTGAAACAATGCACTGGAATAATATTCAGGATGAAGAATTGACAATGTGTGTGTATGTTTGTGTGTGTGTGTGTGTGTGTGTGTGTGTGTGTGTGAGAGAGAGAGAGAGAGAGAGAGAGAGAGAGAGAGAGAGAGAGAAAGAGAGATTTGCTGGTACATGCATCCATGCATATGTGTATGAGCCACAATAGGATGTCAGGTCCCGTGTCCTGCTCTATCACTTTCTTTATTCCCTTGAGATGGCCAGCCAGCAAGCCCTAGAGATCCCCTGCCTGTACCCCTCACAGAGCTGTCGACATACAGCTTTTTACATGTGTGCTGGAGCTATGAATTCACATCCTCATGCTTGCACAGAAAATGCTCTTATCCACTGAGTCACCTTCCTAATTCCAAAGAATTGACATCTTGAAGGGACTTTAGTGATGGCATGGAGCATGTATTTATCCTCACCTTTGGCAGTCTTTCATCTCCCTCTGCAACGGATGGCAATGGGCAGCCAACAGCCCACTTAGGCCAATGGATTTGTTGGCTACACTAAATATTGGTATCTCTTGACTTTAAATGTTTGATTCCTAGAATATTTGCTTATTAATAAATGCCTCAAAAGTCTAAAAGCAACTAAGAGCTTTTGACATTTTAAGCACTAGAACAGGAACTCAGAAGAGACTTTTATGTCTTTTTCCAATTAATCACAAATGGAATTGCATTCAAACTATAGTGATTTTTAAAGGTGCCTCGCAAAACAACAGTTCTGTAATATTTTGCAGGGTTTACTTTTTTTTTTAAAGATTCATTTATTTTTAATTATGTGTATATGTGTGTGTGCATGTGAGTGCAGGTGTCCTTAGAGACCAGATAGGGCAGCAGATCCCCTGGAGCTGGAGTTATATGAAATTGGTTGTGAGCTACCTGGAGTGGGTGCTGGGAACTGAACTCCAGTCCCCTATGAGAGCAATACTTACACTTAACTGATGAGTTATCTCCCAAGTCCCCTCTGCCGCTCACTTTAGTAGCTTTTCTGAAAACAAAACAGACAAAACTCCCAAGTATGTTGTGGAAAGATCCATAGTCAAATAAGCTTTAACCTTGTATTTGTTAGATAAAAGCTGGGCAGGGAATAACCACAGAAAACACAAGAGGACTCCGGCAAAGCAAAGTTTATTTCTTAGGATTGCTGGTGGCTGGCAGCTCAGCTGGGGAGAGAAAGGCAACCAGCCGCCTACTGACTGCTGAGGAAGTTCTTACAGGAGGGTTGGGGAATGTGGAAGGTGGCAAAAATAATCTTTAGTTTCAAGGGAATTAGCTTGAACTGAAACAGTTCTTATATCAGTGGGTCTGAGTGCAGGGGCCTGTTTATCTTCTAAAATTATCTGGGGAACAGCTTTGAGCTGAGACAGCTCTAAATGTGGCTGCCTGGCCAGTTCCTGTTTTGCAAGGGAACCCTCATGGCCTGTCTTGTGAGGCTTTTCTACGTTGGGAGAGGGTCATCTGCAGACCTGGACTCTAACAGTAGTAAAATGTAAAAAACTAAAAAAATTCCACTGTGAATGAACCGCCATGACGATGAGATGAATTCTGATAATCAAGTGTTTCTCAAATTTCTTTGATAATGGAACTTTGTGTGTGTGTGTGTGTGTGTGTGTGTGTGTGTGTGTGTGTGTGCAAGGGGTGTATGGATGTGTGTTGTGTATGTGGTATGCAGGTATATATGGGTCCAGTGTGTGGGGTGTGTATGTTATGTGGTGTGTACGTGTATGTAGTATGTGTATGAGAAGGGTATGTGTGTGTGGTCTGTGAGAGAGTACGGGTATGTGGGAATGTATTTTGTGTGTGTGTGTGTGTGTGTATGTGTGGTTGGGTGTGTTCCTGTGTGGTGTTTAGGGGTGTGGAGAGGGGAGGCTGTGGCACTGTGTGCATGTACATTATTCCCGTTAGGATGAGGTCTCTAGGAAACGCCATCGTGGTAGTATGTTTTCAATGAGGTCAACAATTTTTTGGGAATTAGAGTTTTAGCTTGTGAATCATCAAGTCTCTTCTTGTCATAAATTCCCTTCACATTTCGCGTAGTCATGTTTTAAATCTTTCTTTCCCCACAGTGCCTGTGCCAGGGATCGAGTAAGAAAGAAAACAAACAATGCAAGGCTAGGCTTGATGTTTCTTGTGACTATCCTGAGTTAAATGGCTTAGAAAAGGGAAATATTCAAACTAAGGATGCTTCTTGGCCTGGAGTATAAAAAAATCTTTGCTCTTCAAACTGACGCTTAGTGGGCAGATGGATTTAAGTACTGTCTTCATTCTTCAAGAATGGGAACTTGAACAAATTACTTCACCTCGCTGAACTCCTTCCACTTTTTTCTGTCCTCTCTCCACTAATTTACATTATTTTACTCTATGAAACTTTTAAAAACTTCTCAGAAACACAGAATCTTTTAGAAGAGCAGTTCTATGAAAGAGCGAATAACCAACACACATTTTGGGATGTACTTAGTGTATTTTTTAAAATATTGAGGGGCTAGAGAGATATAGCTCAGCGGTTAAGAACACTGGCTGTTCTTGCAGAAGATTCTGGTTGGAATCCCAGCATCCACATAGCACCTAACAACTGTCTGTAACTCCAGTTCCAGGGGATCAGGCAGTCTCTTCTGTCCTCCGTGGGCATTGTACAACATGGATGCACTTACCTACATGCAGGCAGTACATGCATACACATACACATAAAAATAAAAATAATAGCCAGGCGTGGTGGCGCACGCCTTTAATCCCAGCACTCAGGAGGCAGAGGCAGGTAGATGTCTGTGAGTTCAAGGCCAGCCTGGTCTACATAGTAAGTTCCAGGACAGCTGGGGTCTCAAAAAAGACCAAAAACAAATAAATAAATTAAATAAATATAAATAAAATATTTAAAAAATATTGATTGAGCTACTTATAGCATCATTACTTTAGAGTCCAGATTATTGGTTCTAGAATGTGAAAAGATGGTAATTCATAGTGTTGACATGAAGTGTCCCACTGACCAACTTTAATAAACATATTCTCATCAGCTTTTGTCATTCAAAAGGTGCTTTGTTTTGCAAGGCGCATAGCACAGTAGGAAATACTTTATATATCCATGTTATGCCATGTTTGTGCTCTGTTTGCAAGAATTGCAAAGACTCTAAGTTTGGCATTTCATAAACTCAAGCTTCTCAGAAGACAGTCCACGCAGAAAGCTTCCTGAAGGGACACAGGGAAACAGAAAGGGCACATTGTGGTTTTGCTATTTTTTATTGTTGTTCAGTGGCTTAACTCAGATGTGGAGAGTAAGCTCTTCCTCCTTTCACATCATAACCTTTATCAGTCATTTATATTCCTACATATACTGATAAACTTAAAGCAATTATGTAGGCCAGCCAATCATCTACCAATTTGCTTACATC